AAAAAAAAAAAAAAAAAAAAAAAAAAAAGAAAAACATATAAACATAATAGTTCAATTTTTAGTCGCAATCGTTTTGTCTTGAACATGCCATTGATTGGTTGCCGTCGGATACTTCGATTAAGTTCGATGCAATTTTCGTAGTCGTTGACATATTGTAATCAGATATCGCAACATAGCTATTAAACAAACTTCGTTGCAAGATAATCTTTAATTCATCTTCGTTTCATTTTACAATACATTTTACAATAATTTTTATTTGTATTATTCTCACCGGAATGAAGTTATTTGTCGCCCGTTGAAACTAACGCCGATCATATTCGCGCCATCGCATCGGTTAAAAATTAAAAGCGATAATTAACGAGGAAACGTTTTCATTCGAGGGTAGTTCGATTATAAATTAAACGATCGTGTCGCGGTCACCGACGCGAAGGCGTACATCGATGAAATGGATGAAAAAATGAACGGAGGGTGCAAGATATGGCAAATTCCGCGCGATAAGGCTCGAACTTATCGACATGATGACGTGTGCCGCTGATAAATAATTAACTGCCACGTAAAAGCTCATAAAGAGTAGTAATCGTGCGTACACTATAATCGCGCATATGCTTTTACGCTTGACCGACTTCGGACTGCTTCGAAGCGATTAACGCAACATTCTTCGCTAGTTTTACGTGCTTAATTAACCACATCGTGTATATATAATAAATAAAACAAACAAAGACGATAGATAACTGGCGCCGCAATCGTATTATAAAATAACTAATGACAAAATAGATTAGGTTGAGTAATTCTGTTATTATTTTATGAGTAGAGAGAATGTTTGTTTGATCATTTTCTTTATCTTTCGTAGCGCTTTTCTCATTATTTATTAGTACGAGATAGTTACAGCGATATATTTAAATTTTTTAGTAATTATTAATTTTCATTTTATGTACATGTCAGATAAAATACATTGCGAATGAAACGACCTAATAATAATTGTTCGATGCGTATGATATATAACCTATTAATATTGTACAAGTCGCCATTTTGTATCAATCGATAATCGAAAGATTTACTTCGTCACTGTTCCTATACCAAATTCGAAAATGGACGATCATGTAAACTAGTTAGCTGAATACTTGACAAGCCTCTACTGTGCTTCCAATTTGAGGATTGTTGTCAGTTCGAAATTGTACGTTTCACGATAGATTCAGGAACTCAGTGAGCGCCGGATATCCGACCGAACGTGTGTTCACCCGATGTTGTCGCGTTTCCACGGCTTCGACGTCGACACAACCGCGTCGACGCGCATTAATTTACGCTTTAATTCGAAGACAGATAGTGTTCAGTGAAGCTAAAAAAACGCTAGTCGCTTGAGTTTAACGCTCACGAAAAGAATTCTAATACTTTCTTTCGTTATTTCATATTTTATTTAACGTCAGCATGAAAAATGATAAGTCTAAATGAAATAAAATCGATATCAATATTCGATGGTTTCTTGAGGACACTTGAAAAAAGTCGAAGGTTCATTAAGCCGAGGTAATTTCAAGAACATATATATCCAGGTGTACGAAATTCGAGACTAATTTTATCTTTATGGACAGTAACCTTCTTAGAAAATTGAGTTGACGAAATTCAACGGTCGTGAAAAAAATTCTAATACTCTCTTTAGTTATTTCGCATTTTATGTAACGACAACAGTACCACGAAAAACGATAAGTCTAACTGAAATAAAATAGACGTCAATGTTCGATGGTTTCTTGAGGATGTGTGAAAAAAATCGGACATTCATTAGGCCGAGACAATTTCAAGAACATAAATATCCAGGTGTACGAAATTCGAGCCTAATTTTATCTTTATGGACAATAAGTTTCTTAGAAAATTGAGTCGACGAAATTCAACGGTCGTGAAAAAAAATTATATATACTTTCTTTCGTTATTTCGTATTCTATTTAACGACAACAGTACCACGAAAAACGATAAGTCTAAATGAAATAAAATATACGTCAATGTTCGATGCTTTCTTGAAGATGTATGAAAAAAGNTTGGACATTCATTAGGCCGAGGCAATTTCAAGAACATAAATATCCAGGTGTACGAAATTCGAGTCTAATTTTATCTTTATGGACAATAACTTTCTTAGAAAATTAAGTCGACGAAATTCAACGGTCGTGAAAAAAATTCTAATACTTTCTTTCGTTATTTCATATTTTATCTAACGACAGCAGTACTGCGAAAAACGATAAATCTAAGTGAAATAAAATATATATTGTTCGTTTCTTAAGGATATGTGAAAAAATTCAGAGGTTCATTAAGCCGAGGCAATTTCAAGAACATAAATATCCAGGTGTACGAAATTCGAGCTTAATTTTATCTTTATGGACAATAACTTTCTTAGAAAATTAAGTCGACGAAATTCAACGGTCGTGAAAAAAATTCTAATACTTTCTTTCGTTATTTCATATTTTATCTAACGACAGCAGTACTGAGAAAAACGATAAATCTAAGTGAAATAAAATATATATTGTTCGTTTCTTAAGGATATGTGAAAAAATTCAGAGGTTCATTAAGCCGAGGCAATTTCAAGAACATAAATATCCAGGTGTACGAAATTCGAGCTTAATTTTATCTTTATGAACAATGAAGATAAAAGAAACGGCAGCGAAAAACGAAGAATTCAAACATTCAAACACATAATAAAATTTGTTGATAAATTTATTCGCTATATTAAGAAAATTTCCCTCTTCGGTGAGGATGACTTGAAAATATATTCTCTTGAAGAGTTCGTATATAACGAATAAATACTATATTTCGATTAATGAAATTCATTCGCTCAGTAACCGGCATAATAGAAGGAAACGAAGACGCGTAATGGATAAGAGAAAAGCGGAGGGATGTCGGCAGATAAGAGTTAGGGCGTTCGATTCTTCTACTAGGGGTATCGTTCGAAGGTCTCGAAATCAATTTAGAAAACGGTCGAGATAACCGGATAACATCTCTCGTAAAATCGATTTCTTTCTCTGATTCGCTAACGTTTCGTTTTTTTTCGAAAACTAAACGTTTCTGAGTCGTAAACGACTTATGAATTATTATTATTGAATTGTGGAAAACATAAATCAGCCATATCGTTGATACATCGCGAAGAGATGCAATATAGAGCAAACTAAGGAACAAACGCACCTGGCGGAAACATTTATAATGTGAAGTACATAGAAGCTTGGGAATCCGGCACTTCTAGTTGAACTGGCGCATGATGAAGTTCGCGTGTTCGTAGGAAAACAATTATCCGTGTAAGGCGCGCATGTCTTGCTCGTTGAATGAAAATTTAAGTGAAAGATAAGATGGAATGGTTCTGTTCTGTGTGCGCGGGTGGATCATCAAGGGCAGCCGACCGAAGCAAATAGGTAAAGATGAGAGTGCAATAACTATCTGTATAAAAGACACCACCTATTTGACGCAATGTATCATCACTTTGCGCTTCGTTAAAGACCGAGCGCATCGTATCTCTCGAATTCTCAACAGCAATTATGTTCCACTCGACCTACCAAGAGTCTTCATTAACCATTTGTGATATTGAATATTTCACGAATTATAATATTTATTGTCGTAAAAATGAACGAAATAAGAAAGGAAAAGAAGGGTCGTGTTTTAATTATCGTGTTCACAGTGAAATCGTATGAACGGCGATAATTAAATCTTTCTGTTTCTCTTCAATTCCTCTATTTTTTGCGAAAAGACGATATTCTATAAGCGTGAGCAACAATCTTGTTTTTAATTATTAATTCGAATTAATTAAAATCCAGTTTCCGGCTAATTTGTGCGATGAACTAGATGTTTCTCTCGTGTGTACGGATAATTTTTTACGCGATGCGTTCGTTTTA